TGGTCCTCTCCAGGTCTTGGGAAGATTCAGGGAGAGTGTGGTTTTGGAGGGGGAAGCCATGAACTAAAGATGGTACCAAAATATTTATTGAAGTAGAACTTCTGTGGTGAGGCTCCCATGCTCCTTTCTTGAAGGTAAACAATGGAGGTAGAAAAAGCAAAAATTACCCTGTACTATTTACTATCACGACAGCCAATGACCTGTCAGGGAGCCTGAGGAGACACCGCACAGGGTATGAAATGTACAAACAGTGCTGAGAAAAAAAATCACTGCTAATCACCACTGGGAATGTTTTGTAAAGAGGCAAGTAACGGACACGTCAATTAGAATTTTCTAGGCCACCGTCCTATTTTAACAATAAGATTCTTATTGTTAAAATAGAATTTTCATGATCTTCTATCCAAAACCAGGAACTTGGTACATGGATAGCATATCTTAAAAATAAATGAGCAAATTATGAATGTCCATTTGTCTCAGGGATTAAAAAAGTTATTATAATAAATCGTATTACTTACTTGAAATTGTTTACATCAAAGAAGCAATAAATAATGTTGAGTTTATATTCTATAAAATCTATGTACCTGATATATATATATATAAAAAATAGTCAACTCGTCAATTAATTTAATTATGGAAATAAAATATTTCCAATTGTGTAGCTAAGAAAACATTTTTGGATATTATCTATATTGGACAGCTTTTAAATTTAACCCCCTGTCTGTATACAAAGATGTCCAGAAAAAAAAAGTCTAGTCTTATTTCTGCCCTCGCCCCTCATCGGGGTAGATTTTTGTTTATGCATTAGACGACCTTTTTGGCCATTAGAACCGTCTTGCTTCAGCAGTTAATTAACACAAGTACCATAATTTAATACAGTTAATGCTACTTGATGCCCTTTAATGTACCTTCCATTAGTGATATTATTGTAGTATTACCCTGTAAATTAAAATGAGATCAAGACTAAGAGAGCCGCTCTTTAATTAAGGTGCTGGCACACTGCACTCCTCAGTTATTCACTGGAGAAAATCACCCTGATTTACTGAAGCAGGACATCCATAAGTCAGAATTAGTCCATGAAGATTATTAGGTTTATTGAACAATGTAAGTACTCCAGAATCGCTGAGATTGCCAACGGCTATGGTTTTTTCTACCCCTTCATTATCTTAATAAACACACAACGAGAGGTAAGAAAAGGAAGCAGAATAAGTAATGTAGGAAAAGAGGAACGCATTTTCTATACAGAGACAACAGTTTTAGTCACTAGTAAAATACGTATCAGATGTAGCAGGTACCAAAAAAGAATATAAATACTACATTAGACTAACGATAATCAAAACAATCATTTTTACAAGAGACAACACTAGCCAGTTTTAAACACACATGCATACAGAGAAATGGACAATTGGAGTTCCCGATCAGTTAATTCAAGGAATGATCTCCATCTATTTTTGTTTAATTGTTTACTATGTCAAGGCCAAAAAAATTTATATTCTCTGTCCACTATTCTACGGATATTTTCAGATCTGGTCTCCATTCTACCTTCCTCAAATCATTGGTGTCAATTTCCCTCATTATGGGATGGGTGGGAATGGCAGAGACAAGTAGAAAACTATCACTATCAGGATCCAATATAGGTGTGTTCAACGTTGTAATCCTTTCAGGGGATGGTGGGGGGCATGCAAGAAACAAAGACTTCAGTTGTATTTTGGAAAGTGTGCATTTAGGATAGTCTTGAAAAGGAACCTTTAGAACTTTCTTTGAGAGATCATCAATTAATATTTAATCTTCCTATAGATGATTTGTTACATAAGAGAAAGACAGCCTAGATCATTAATCTTAGTGAAATTTTCAAGGGTAAAATAATGATATCAGCTTCTACACCTGAAGGCCCCATGAACCAGGCAACAGCTCAGTATCTCCCTTTCGTGGCTCCATCATGAGCGCATCCTCCTTATATAACTTTAAAGCTGGAGCCACGCCTGAGCCATCAGGCCTTGCTTCTTTAGTCCCTCCCCTAAGACTAAAAATACTCCAGCCATCTGGTGCCTGGTGCAGTAAATGCCAGCATCAGTTCTGCCCTGGTGATTTGGACAGAGTCTGGAGGTGACAGAGTGGGACCTTATGGAAGGGGCTCACCTCTACTGGACCTTTCTCTTTTGCCCAGCTGCTTCTCACCAGCATATACTTGACCGGTGAACAGGAAAAGAGAGTGGAGCTGAGTCCAGAGAAAAGGGGGAAAGCGCCTCAACAACCACTGAAATGCAGTTGGAGGACACAATCAGGTTGAGAGCTAAAAGAAAAGAGGTAAATCTGGAGGAGGCTGCATTTCTGACATCTCGCTTTTTGGAGACAGCACATCTGACCCCAGTGAAGAACGCAAAGGGATGCCTTTAGCTTTAAAGCATATTTGATATTTTCTCTTACATAAAGGAAGCAGTACTGAATACCCAATAAAATTAAGCATCAGCAATGGTTATTTTCCAGCTAAAAAGCCTCCGAAAATTGCCTTAAAAAATTAATACGAGGTTACAAAGTTTTAGGTTCTAACTTCCGAGGCAAAGTTCAAGTTGTAGAAGAGCCCTTCACCCAGGGGGTGGCTAGACACCCTTGTATTGTGCGCGTTAGGTGAGACCCCTTGCCCTTGCTAGATTATATATTTTTTTATTATTATTTTATTTTTATTCCTTGAGCCAGAGTCTCACTTTGTTGCCATGGCTAGAGAGCCATGACCCCAGCCTAGCTCATAGCAACCTCAAACTTCTGTGTTCAAGCAACCTTCTGCCTCAGCCTCCTGAGTAGCTAGGACTACAGGCACTCACCACCCTGCCTGCCTAATTTTTCTATTTTTAGCAGAGATGGGATCTGGCTTTGCTTAGGCTGATCTCAAACTCCTTACCTCGAGTGATGCTCCCACCTCAGCCTCCCAGTGTGTGAGGATTACAGGAGGGAGCTGCCAAGCCCAGATTATCTTCTTTCCAAGTGTCAAATGAGCGTGGGGGGGGCGGTGGGCGGGGGAAGGTGGGCTATAGGAATTTGGTCTCAAATTAAAAATTTCTTGAACTACAAGGAAACTGACCCAGACAAATCCACCTAACAATGTAGATTATATTAGGATTAAAATTCAGATCTGTTTATTATTTTTGACTTTTATTCATATAGATTAATTAACTACTTATACTTCATGGTGTTAAGATATTGTTAAGGATACCAGCATCAATTTTTTTCATATATCATATGTCTCCAAGAGAATATACTGAAAACTGATAATCCTTTGCTAAAATGTTCTTGAGTATAATGGCTGCACTCTGTGATATGTAGCAAACTCATGCTTGAGGCAATGGCCCCATATTGCCCTATCACGTCACCCTGCTCATAATACATGAACTGTTCTCCGTATTCTGGAGCTCAAAAGCTCAATATTGAATCAATGCATATTGTTCTCAAAAATATTACTTTGCTTTCAAGATACATTCCTGATCCATGGATCACTTGGACTTTGGTCAAAAGTTTTAAGAAAGTCTCCATAGATAAAGACTCTTAATTCTTTCATGAGGAACATGAAGCCAGAACAAAGCTGGGAGTAGACAACCATTATTTCTCCACAGCTGAGATTGTGAAACAGTGGATGCCACAAAGAGGTCGGCTCCACCATTCCATTCTGAGTGTCTACTAGGGCCCTCCCTTCATGGCAGCACCCTCTTCTTTTTTTTTCTAGCACACAGGGGTGAGGCAAGTCTTAGACAGACCATAGAATCTTAACGCTTCCCCAGTTTCTGAGCTACCTAAGGGATGCTAGAAGCAAGTACATTCAATGAACCCTGACTTATCTGTTTAAATTTTGTCATTACTTAATTAAGTCTAAGTGATCTATATGATTTATATTCTTATCCTCCTATATTTTGATTTAAAACTGTCTTGGCCTTTTTGCTGGCACATTATTGCTCTGGTTGTCTTTCCCTTTTATACCATTTGCTGCATACCTCACTTTTACCTTTAGATTTTCCCCTCATTATCTCATGTTTTCACACCTCTCAGTCGGTTACTTTGATAATATACCACGCTTAAAGAGCCGGCTGAAAATCTCCATGTTGGTGGTCCTGCTTTTCATTATCCAAATTTTTCATTTAAACTTTTCCAGACTTCTTGGAAATTTGCTCAATTCTGCCTCTGGTGTATGAGATGTTATCCAAACCAAAGCTATCCCTGACTGTGACCCTATTAGTAATTGAGCTACAATGAACGGAGCCTGCCTGACTCAGGCCCATATTTTAAATGCTATCATATCTTTTTAATATAAAAGCATATCCAAAAACTTGAAAAGTAGAGCTTGCCCTGATTTAACAAAAGCCTTCTGGAGGTTGCTGTGAAATGGGATGCCACAGCACTCTACTGAGAATGACAGATTGAGACTCTGTCTCAAAAAAAAAAAAAAAGAAAGAAAGAAAAACAAAAGCCTTCTGTTTCCTAAATGCTTTCAGTTCTGATTTTTAAAAAACTATATATATATACACACACACATATATAACTTTCATTTGGGGGATTTTTTTGTGCAATATAATAAAACATGAAGAAATAAATTGTTATACCATGGTGAAACCCTCTCTTGCACTTGAAAACAATGGTAAAATATAAAGATGTATTTCTTGTTTTTCAGTCTCTTTTAGAGCAAGTAGCTTTGCTTCCCCTGGTTTCATTGTATGAAAAAGGTCAAAGACTTCCTGACTGAGGGATGTTCTTTTTTTGTTTTTGTTTTTTGGTATTTTTGCTTATATTTAGATTCTGAAGAATCATGCCAGGTTCCCTGATAGCAAGTTTGGGGAGTACAGATTGCTGCTGAGGACAAAGGGTCTCAAACGCCTTCAGAACCTACTTCTACACTGGTGGTCCCGAGAAAACGTTCCAGCAGACACTGACAAATACCACCTTCCTGTGGGACCAGCCCAAGGGCATTCTCTCCGGACACATCCATTCCCATTCAAGGCACACAGATGTTCTCTTACCTTCCTCGCACCTTTATGTCTGAGATCGCGTAAAAGTAGCGTGCCAAGTGTAGCTCATCTACAAATATTTCCCCAACAGCTGGTCTTAACAGCCTTATCCTCAGGTCTGTGACTGTAAAGAAATCTCTGAGTTTCTTGGTTGTATCCAGCTGTCCGTAGAGGGAAGCCATATTGCGTAGCCGAGGTCCAGCAAAAAACGCGAACCTGTCTTTGATTTCAAAGTGGATTATTTTGCTATTTGTTGTATACCCTGTGGAGTACTCTTCTGTGCAAATTATTTCTAAGACCGTGTGCTGTGATAAATCCTTCACGGATTTAGGATCCATGTGAAAAGCGTCTAAGCAGTCTGTGGCATAATACTGATAGGGCTGCCAGGTTTGTCCGTAATCGAGAGACTTCTCCAGGATCATTTGGTCTGGACGCCCCGATTCAAAGGTAATAACTATGTTGTCTGTGAGCTCAATGGTTTTGCTCCAAGATAGAGTGATGTTAACCTGGAGAGGCTTGGGATAGTCCTTCCAAGTGGCAGACTGCCAAAATGTGGAGGGATGTCTTCCTTCAAAATCAAACATCAGCTCAGGGGGGTGTGCCAGCTCGGGGGTGCTTGCATCACACTCATTATTGCACATGTAGGGGTTGCCCTATGGAAGAAGAAAGAAAGAAGGTGCATCAAAACACTGGTGTGGCCCCACCGCAACTCTCGCCGTATTGTTGCTCAGTAAGAGGCTAGGAAAGGAAGGAAAAAAAGCCCTGTTTTCAGTAATCATTTTTATTTGCCCTAACTAGACTCTCCTCTTTAATAGCTTGAAAAAAAAAGCAATATGGTAATTTTCTCCTCTTGCTTCCTTCCATGTGCTCTGAGAAATGAAAACAGTTTATTTATCCCATATGTGTTAGACCCATAATGTGGTCACAGAAGCACACAGACACTGAGCAACTGTCTAACAGCTCAATACCTCTGCTTCCTTTTAGAAAGATGCTATAGAAAGGCAAGGGAAAGTCCTCCCTGCCTCAAGGACATTCCTTAAGAGCACAGTTCTTTAAAAAGTCATTCTCCAAGCAAAGCTTCGGATTTAGCCAGGAACCGTAGACACTTGCATCCTGATTGGGAGACAATACCCCCATACAACGTTCAGCTTCTTCTGGCTTTGCCTCAAATCCATCATACTTAACTGGGTCCTTGCTTCATAAAGTCTGGTTTTAAAACATTTACTTTGTTCACCACAAATCATTAAAATGTGGTACCCTAAAGGCTCTTGGGTTTGGTCCAAACATCTGCCATTCTATCAGCTAGAGATAAGAGGATTGCTCAGGAAAGTCATACGGGTGGGGTATTCTCCAAGTTATCAGGACAAGAAAACCCACCACTCAGTTAAGACAGTCTTGCACATGAGAGCACAGCCACTCCATGTGTCTGTTACTCTGTACCAGCCCATAGGCTGCTCTCTGTGGAGGTTAATTATTCTTATTCTCCTCTGACAAAGGCTACTTCCTTCATTGCCCATTCAAACTAGAGGCTAGAAATAAATCTAGTTACGTGACAAGTTACAACACTGCTTCTGCTTCCCTAAATGGCTACTCTCAGCTTTCATCAGCAGAGTCTATGGCAAATGGCATGCGCCCAGATTTTTATTTACTTTTGTTTTTAAGAAAACAAAATAATATTCTTTTGCAGTCAATTGTTCAGGCATCTCTTTCTTATCTTGTACTTGGTAATTACGAGCATCACTTGCTGAAAGAATTAACCTTCTGACATTGTCCTTAGATTTTTCTCCTGTAATTACAATTAGATTTCTGTTTCTTTTTCATGAACTGTGAGCTGTTCCTCATACCTGTAGGATGAATGAGATGGGTCTCAAATAATGAATTTACGCTTTAGATAGTGGCACTCAGTTACCAGCTGACTACTATGAAATAGAAGATGAGCATTGATTGGAGAATTGCTTTGGCCTCCCTGGAGGCCACTTTCTCCTACTGAGTCAGCTAATACCCTCACTCTCTCTTTCCCATTAATGCAACTGAATCCTAAAGCTGGCAACAGGTCCGGGGGACTCAAGCATAATTGAGATGGAGCAAGAGAGAGCAGAGAAGGTACATTATTGGAGAAACCGAACTGTTTTAAAAATACACCCAAGGAATCAGTGATAATGGAAATGTTTCTGTATTTCTCTCCCGAATTTCAATTCCCTATTCCTGATCCCAGCATCTGTGGGACTATTTATAGTATCCCCTGCAAAATGAGCCAAGGGGAGAGGGGGTAAGTTTCTGTTCCAGGTGGAATAAATCACCAAATTTATTATTATTTAAACTCTCTTAAGCATACCAGGAGCCAAAGGCAAAGCTCTGCAAACTGGCAAAGGCTTTTTATGGAGGGCTATAAATATTGTGGGATCTGTCAGGATTTATAAATTCTAAATATATGTAAATGCACATTTTACTGGAAGGGGTCAGATTTACACATATCACTCTTTCTTTTGAAATTTACCGAAAAAATACAGTCACTGTAAAATCTGTCAGCAGGTAGCCATCTGCACAATCATTAACTTGGATGCTACCACTTTCCTCCTCCCAAAAGCATCTTCCTTCGAGGTCAGGGGTGTGGGAACAAAGGGAATCAACTCTGCGGGGTACATCAAAGTGAGTTATCAGATGTTTGTTTTGGGTCACATTGAAAGATAGCAGTCGCTGGCTTTCAGCATCAGTACCCAGAGCTCCTCAGGTGGGGCTGGAGCGCTGGGACCACAGGAGGAAGCACATCAGGCTGATTCCAGAAATGAATCAATACTAACAAACCCATCTCAGAAAATACTCTTATCTGCAAGGCACTGATGAATACATTGAATAGAGGGTGCTGGCCATAACCACCATTTAGCTAGCACAGTGTACCGGACACTTGCTTACGTTATCTTGGGTAATCCTTCTCATCCCTCCCCTATAGAAGAGGAAATGGAGGCAGAGAGAAGTGTTTAGTTACTTGCCCAAGGTCACATAACAAAGTGAGAGAGAGGCAGAGCCAGGACCGTCCTCCTATCCTGCCCTAACTTCTTTACTCCCAGGCCAATGGGGTTCCCTATGTTGCCACCCCGCCCTAGAAACAGGATTAGCAGGTACAAAGGAATGTCCAAAATCAAATGTTTTGGGGACCACAGCCTCGTCTTCTGGTCCTGAGAGCCCTAATAAGCACTGCCATAATCTGAGATGCTTTGACATTAAGAACCTTGATTAGCTTCACGTGATAATTAGTTTCATAAACTTATTTGATCGTGGAGTCCCTTTTTAGCTATCATCCTGGACTGCGTTCTTTGAGATTCTCTGCTTTGTAGTATACTTAAAGATACTTAAAGTAGCAAATGCAGAGAATGAGCAGTGCAACCCAGTTTTAGTCCCTTCACGAAGCCATGGCCGTAGAAAGCACCAGGTCTGTGCTTTTGTTCTGTGGGGGGGGGGCACCTGAGGCCCAGTGCGTTAGCCAACTCAGGGGAAGTGTCTACATTTACATCAGGTTCTTCATTGCTCTGCACAGATTTAGTTTTTATTTTTTTATTTTATTTTTTCGTTAAATCATAGCTGTGCGCATTAATGCAGTCATGGGGTACAGTGTGCTGGTTCTATATACAATCTGAAATATTTTCATCCAACTGGTTAACATAGCCTTCATGGCATTTTCTTAGTTATTGTGTTCAGACGTTTATATACTACATTTAGAAAGATTCACACGTACCCTCGGAAGCTGAGCAGGGTCGGGCCTGGTTAGATGGGAGACAGATTCAGTTCTTCGGAAAAGGGAGAAAAGTTTCATACATTCGACGATCATTTATTAGTTACCTACAATGCTACTATATTTAAGGCACTCAGCTTGTCTCTCAGGAAACAGCAGGGGACAAACTCAAGTCTTTGCTTTCTGTGGCATCCTAGTTGGGGGAGATAGGTTAAACCAGCAAATGTATGATGTTCTGTAATGTGACAGGATGGTGATTCTCATGGAGAAAGTAAAGGTAACTGAAGGGGGATGGCATCGTTGGCTCGCCATCTAGTTTTATAGCAGGAAGGTCTCTCTGATAAGGTGACATTTGAGCAGATCAAGAACAATTCCCCATCTACACTGGAGAGGATCAGAGAAGGATGACTAGGATGATAGCTTTATCCTTCATTTGACTCACTCTTAGTGATATTTTCGGCAGCATAGCAATTTATTGAAATCAGGGGGCAAATAAATCATTTCGAATGAGAATCAACACCAAATGACTGTAGACAGAAAAAAAATAATAAATCAAAATAAATAAATAAATAAATAAATATCAATTGGCCTGTGTTCCTTATCACATAGCACTCGTGCATTTTTTTTTTTTTTTTTTTTTTTTTTAGATACGATGACATTGAGAAAAAATTAGCAGTGGAAGGAACAAAAAAAGAAAAGATTTCATTCTGGTCCCTGTGCTTTAGTTGAAAGAGAGAGAATAAAAGAAGAAAGCTGACAAAGCCCCCAATTTTATCATTCCCCGAAGAGAAAGCTGGACGAGAGATCACATCCTAAAATACTTCGTGTAAACATTTCACAGGGGTGTGATCTATAATACTGTTGTTACAGGGAATTATCAATATGAAAACAATCTCTGTTAGAGGGATTAGATTAATTACATTTCCAACTCCTTCAACCCCACCCTAATCCTATTTAAGAACACCAACAATGAAACTTATCTAAGAAAAAGCAACTTTTCCTTACTCTTGCTTCTATATCTAACAGATTCAGGCATCACCAAGCAAAAGTAATTATTTCGTGGCCAGCAGGCAGCCTTAAATAGGGCTTAATTGAAGTTCTACAGCAACAGATCCTTAGCTGATTGTCTAAGGACAAAGCAGAAAATATTTACGACTACGCTGATAACATTCACACCATTAACAAATGCGTAAATAATTAAACAGATATTGTTGCTAAAATTTTTGGGTAACAGACGACTGTGGTGTTTAGTTTCATTAAAAATGGTAATACTTTTTATTTCTGGGAGAATCGAAGTTAGTTATTAATTAGCGATTTGTAGCCAAAGTGAAATGTTGTTTTTCTTGTTTAATGTGCTATCAGAATTCAGAGGGATAAGTAACATCTGAAGCATGTTTTTACTGCTTATATTAGTGGAAAGTTGTCTTCCTTCTGGCAAACGCCACTATTAAAGGAACATCCTTTCATCTAATATCTGCTAAGCCCTTCTGAGTCAAAAAAACAAAACCCAAACCCTATATTGACAGTATTAATGGAATACTTGTGGTTGTTGTCTCATGTTCACCTTTCCAAGCTTCACCTATTGGCAAACTATTGGGAATGAGTGTTGCAAATAGAGGGAATTCTCACAGGAGAATTGCTCCCGAACTGAAACTCACATGCCACGCGGGCAGTTAACTTATAAGTGGTTATGAGAAGCATCTGTGAACACGTAAACAGATGGTGAAAAACAGGGAGACACATCTGCCTCTTACCCCTTTGCCTGTGGCTCATCCTTGCTTGTTAATCAACAAGCAAGGCACCAAGTCCAGAAGAAGCATTACTGGGAGAGCACTGCAACTGGCTTCGGCTGTGACTCTGAAATAGACACCACTGGGGCTTCGTCAATGCACAGCCTTTACTAAGAAGATGCAGAAGTCAGTG